TGCTACTACAGACTTTCTATCGCCCTTTCTTTTGCATACCCTTTCTTTATGGCCTCTTTATAGAAACAGTTACGCCAAACCATGTACTATTATAATACAGTAGACACCGCCTATGATAGAAACGACATGACAGTCGATACTAAATTGACGAAAAAGTGTATATTTCTACTTCCAAAGCAAAAATATTTTGCACTGGCACTTCAGGTAAAGCGAAAAGTACAAGGTGTGTATGATTTCGCACAAATAAACCGTAAACAAACATCAAACTATCAAACTAACTCACAGGAAGCTCTTAATCATAATACTATTTATATTAAATGTTGCCAATGTTTGTCTGAGTCTCCGCGGGGGGTCGAATTTTCGTGACGTCAATTGCGGACAACGCTATTACAACGGTTACAAGCCGCACCACGGTATTCACCCGTATAATGACAGTGGTCTTTCACCTTCTTATTGTCCTTCGTAAACGGACCGTGGCACGCATAACACGTCTCGGACGATATGAAATCTTCAATGTCGTCCGGTAACATCCAGGTGATCTCGTGTTCGTATTTTAGCCAATCAGCGCTCAGAAAGGGTTGTCCGAATAGAAATCCATTTTGATGTATTCAGTCAATTATATCTTTCGTTATTCTTTATGAAACTAGTTGAAATTTTGTAATTATGTTTGGTTATGAGAACTATAGCTCTGACAAAAATATGGAATCGAAATAAAGTATATTACAGGAGATATTCAGTTGTTTTAATCATAAAATGGATTTCTATTTGACAACTAGTGCCAGTACGTTTCCGTGTATCAAGATCATCTGGATATTGATAGGAACCAGGACTCCAAATCTTTCGTGAATGTCTTTAACATCCGCTTCGAGAAGATCGTAAAATTTTTTCATGATGTCTTCTCCCTCGTATTGTTGCGTATAACTCACGTATTTCGGCGAATAAATCTCATCGTCGAAACATTTGATAAGATATGCAAATCCACACGCCGCATGTTCCTGAGTTTTCTTCGTACTCGAATAATGAAGGTAATCTTCCTTGTCGTGAGGTAACGGTTTGAGAAGAGATTCCGTGTCCGCGTAGACGACAAACGGAACGTCGTGGATTTTTTCATAACCCTTAAATTTTAAAATCTGACCCGGTTCCGCGTAAAAACATGTTTGCGCGTCATGATCGAAACATAGTTTAACATGTTCGACCAGTAATTTTTGAGATCCAAATGCGTTCAGACAATTATCACATATGTGTTTCTTACACTTATGTTTACTCAACTGTTTTCCCAGTAATTTCGACAGATCCTTCACGACGACGTAATGTTCGTTCCACAACAAAAGATTAATAGGATTAGGATTTCTCGATACGTTAAGGGGATAAATCTTTAATTTTTCATCGAATCCAAAAAGATTAATAACAACATCCGGATTATTTTTCTCAAATTTTACAATGTCTTGTCAAATTGATCGTCCGTATTCTGCATATTGATAAGTCCCTTACTCCTATTGTATCCCTTCGGTAATTTCTCATACTTCGAACCACGAAGCGGATCGTATTCTCCAATATTAATATCTAGTCGGATCAATCTTTTTAACATCCATCCACTCCCATTTTTCTGATACTGTGAAAATGCCTCCAAAATCTTTCCTTTCATTTCATCCCACGTTCCGTCCGTCAGACTTCTTCCCGTAATGTTATAATTCTTCGATGAAAAATGAGCAGTATCCTCCGTCACCACTCCCGTGATCTTATTAATTTTCATCATGTCACAAAATAAACTCACAGTAACATTCTTTGACTTTTTAACAGAATCTGCGAGTTCACACACGTGTCTTCCAACCACATCCAAAAAATACTGCGGCTCGTATTTTCCCTTCGGTGTGATCGTGTACTTTTTCACCTTCTTTCCGAAAGCATGTTTTTCCAAGACGGGTGTAAAATCCTCGCCGCGAATTTTTAATTCGCCCGACATAATCTTACGCCTTCTTTTTTCCGCATACCGTTCACGTGCCTTTTCATTACGACGAAGTCTTTGAGTTTCTTTCTTCCATTTTTGTGCTCCGGATTTCCAATGGGTTAATTCTTTTTGACGTCTCTTTTCCTCTTTCGCGATATCCTTTTCCAATTTCTTTTCGTCGCGAAGTTTTCGTTCGTTCTGTCGACGACGATCGCCAAGTTCTTTCGCCGCAGATTTAATGTCCTTTCCGATGATCCACCTCTTTTCCTTCCTCGCGTATTCGTCGTAACGGTCGTTGATCTCTTCTTTCGTTCTCATCGACTTTCCCTCGCAAATAATTTGAGGGCATCTTGTCGTAAGCGTTCGTTGAATTCTAACATGTAATTCAGGACCGGATTAGTTGTGTTTACACTTGTCATTTATTAAATAAAAAAAAAAATTACTAACCTCGGATAGGTTAGGAAAAAATTACTGTAAACACAACTCTAAAATCCGGATATTTTTTATACTGTTTTATATTTACATAAGGTGATGATGAAAAAAAATAGTTTTTTTTTCAAATGGCAAATTCCCTTTTTGCGAATGACTTTTTGAAGACGACGTTTTTCAAAATTCCCGCGAATGACTTTTAACGCAAAGACTTTGTGGAAGATCCTTGCGATGGAATGATCCACGGATAATTTCCGAATAGTCTTTTTGTGCAAAACTTTCTATAAGTTTAGTTGTTGTTTCGTCAAATACGGGACGAGGTTCACGGTAGAAGTGTACATCCCGTTCCACACGTAACATCCTAACACCACCCTTGAACAAAAACCTGGGATTAAAACTATATACTTCCCACGAGTTGTAATCCGGTGTCAGTACCGAATAGCAGGCGCGGTGGTGTCTATCGAATCCTTTTAGACTATTAAAGGATATTAACATCGATCGCAAAATATTCTAGGCGACTGATGCTTACTGATCTGACTCGACCACAAGTGACTATTGTTTTTTACCGGGTAATATATACCATCGTGGTAAAACAATGTAATAATCCTCATGAATTTCCATCCCGCTACCCTTAATGCAACAATCTTATCACCTGATAGACCGATCATATTCAAACCGATCCTATTATCGTCTACGAACGTACGGATGTTCTCCGGTGGTGTTGGGAACGTGGTGTTTTCCCAGTTTAGTTTCTCTGCCTGAGAACGAAGTGTCTTCGTAATCCTTCCGGAATTTCTTTCGACAGGATTTAATGCACGCGTCACGGCCCACTTGAAACTTTCGTCACCACTTTTTTGCATGGTGATCAACGCCCTCTTGCCGGACACAGATTTTGGTAAAGTCATATTTTCTTATCGAAAATGTTTTCTATAAGAGGTTGACGGTTACGGAACAGTGGGTGTCTCGGGGCGTACCACGACTTGCCCAACGGGTTTGCGGGTTTGGTTGACGACTCTTCAACGTTCTTAGAACGTGGTGTTCACGACGTCCTCAAGGGGTTGAAGACACTTTTTGTAATTCTCACGAATGACTTTTTGACGACAATATGTATGCAACGTCTTCAACGTCCTCAAGGGGCTGAAGACACTATATTTTGTCTTACATGAAGTATTGCGATGAAAAACTGTTCATATCCCCGGGTTGACACTACTCTGAAGATGGGACCATCGTAATTTGTCGCTTCGCATAAGTTGATGACGTAATAGTATCTTCAAATCTCTGCCACACCAAGCACTTCTCAGCTCCAAGCGCTGTGGTTAATTGTCGATAAGGGATTCAACTGAAAGATTGACCCGATAACCATGTTGAATATCAATGTCATTGCTCACTGTTGATACGACCAATTCATCAGGTTGTCCATATAAATCCAGAGTTGATGCTAGTGAGGGGTCCACCAGGGTTATCTCTGATCCCGAGTCGAGCATGGCAGATACGGTCACGACTTTCCCCCGTTTTCCAAAAACACGTAGAGGTACAACTTGTAGCAGAACAGCATCAGAATACTGCAGAAAAGCCGTATTGACAGAGCCGGCTTGCAAATCACTGCCGTCCTTTTGAGAAGAATCTTGATTGCTCTCTTTCTTTTGCTGGTTTGGTATATGCAACAACGTGTGATGTGACGCGCCACATCCTTCAATTCTGCACTTGAATTTGCTCGGGCAACACTTGGCAATATGTTTAACTGCGATACCAGATTGTAGAACTGGACTGTTCTTTAGAAAGTTATAACTTTAGATTAGATTTATTAAAATACTTGAACGGCAGTTCAAAAACGAACTGAAAAACACAAGTTTACATAGTTTAAAAATAGTAGAACAAAATACGTATACACAGATTATAGATACGCTGGTAATACTAATTACAATAACGTAGGATTGCTAATTTACAAATGATATATTAATCTATAGAAGCCTAAAAGGTTAAAAAGAGTTCCATTTGCGTACGCAATATGGCAAAAGACTATCATTATAGCGTTTAGTTCGGGTTTTAAAAAGTGAGATAGATCGGGAATGTTTAAGATTGTACTGATGATCTAAAGGTTCAGGTAATAGATTAAAAATTTTGCTCGAAGTGTCATTATAACTGTTTTTGTAAAAAGATCTACATAACAATTCCGTTCTCTCCTTGAGAGTGGGCAACTTTAGGTCTTTGAGGCTTTCGGAGTAGGACAAGTGGGGAACAATAATTTTGAACGCACGTCTCTGAATGTGCTCTAATTCATCAGTCAGGAACTTTGGTAACGAGGTATGCCAGACTGGACACGCATATTCCAAGACAGATCTGATAAAAACTAAAACTACAATATACTGCCCTAAGATCACTCGGTTGGACACCATTTCTTCTTAATATCCTTAAAGCGTACAGACGTTTGCTTGCTTTGGAGGATATGTGTCTGATGTGTGTAGTCCACTTAAGATCGGAGGTTAAATTTACCCCCAGGAGCTTGATGGTATTAACAGCCTCCAGGGGTTGGTTATTGACAATCAAGGGTTGCGCCAAGGGTTGATTGATCAAAAATGACACGGTGAAATCTTTAGTTTTTTTAACGTTCAACTTCATGTTGTTCGCACTTGACCACTGGGTCACGTTGTCAAGTTCTTGCTGTAATTTTGGTAGATCCGGTTCACATACTCTAACGACTTCAGAGATTGCACAATCGTCAACATACTTATACAAAGGCAATTCGCTGGACAGATCATTGACCATTATAAGAAAGAACAGAGGACCAAGTTTGGTACCTTGCGGAACTCCAGCTTTTATTTCTTTCCAATCAGATTTACAAGTTTTTAATTTGACGCGCTGCTGTCTGCCTTGAAGAAAACATGAACACCAGTTTAATAGGACCGGTAGAACATTGAGAAGCTGTAACTTGCGCATCAGAATGTTATGATCAATTCGATCAAACGCTTTGGAAAAATCGATGAAGCAGGTTCGGATAATGGTGTTAGGCGTTTCCAGGGCAGAGAGCCAGTAGTGGACTAAATGCACGAGGGCGTGAGTGGTTGAAGACTTTTTCACACTACCAAACTGGAAAGGGTCGATGTATGGCATAACAATAGGTGCAAGCCAGTTGAAAACAAAAGACTCAAGAATTGTGCTCAACACTGCAGTTAGAGATATAGGTCTAAGGTCCATATCAATAGACTTCGGTCTAGAGATCTTCCCCAACGGGAGGACGTCCGCACATTTCCACAGCCCGGGGACACGACCTTCTCTAATAGAAGAGTTAACCATAGAACACACAGGGGTGCTAATAGTTGTGGCGCAGGTTTTCAAGAGCCAATTGGGAATCTCGTCAGGTCCTAGACTTGCGATCTTGGACAGCCACCAAAGCAAGTTCTACGGCATCACGGGTAATAATGTACTCATCAGGAATGTTGGAAACAGGTATGGGAGTAAAGTTTAGTTGTGGTATGTCAGCAGCAACACTGCAAAAGGATTCGTTAATAGCGACAGCAAAATCGAAGTCCTTCAAAACAGTGCCATTTACGGCTAAGCTTGTTAACGGAGGAGGATTAGAAAGTCCAGACAACAGCTTGATTCCGTCCCACCACTTTTTTTAGGATTACTCTCATGCATGTGATTAATTTTGTCATTGTAGAATCTTTGGCGTGCTCTCTTGCAGAGTTTTATCACTTTATTGCGATAAACATTATATTGGTGTAAGTCACTATTCAACCAAGCTTGTTGACGTTTCTTAATAGATTCTTTAATAACAGGAGTAATCCATGGTTTGTCGTTAGGGACCGGTCATTATTTATGGCGGGGGTGGCACCGAAGAGAAAAGGGTTGGGTAAACGAAATTTTGAGTAAGTAAAAGGTTGGGTAAATGAAAAAGAAAACAACTCAAGGGTTGGGTAATGAAAATTTATTGTCATTTCCAAAGCATGACTCACTGAAATATTGGAGACTAAAAAGCAATGTCAACAGTCATATATATGTCAATACAATATGTAAATCAATCAGAGTCGATATCTTGATCATTTTCCGATTTGTTGGGATCGAGACAAATGGTGTCTCCAAAGAAAGTACATGTGCAGACAACATGCAACTTTAGACTGCAGAAAATTTCACAAGCCGTTATCAAACTCATGTCACAGAAGTGGTAAAGGACATATGTGACAACTGAACAATCCTTTTGTAACGTTTTTGGCCAGGGGTGGGTATTTATTTTTTAATTGATATTTGAGGGTTGGGTAATCAAATTTTTGACTTTTTAATGGTTGGGTCAGCAAAATTTTTGCCACTAAAAACATTTGTCTTCGGTGCCACCCCCCACCATAAATAATGACCGGTACCTTACGATGATGTTTCACAGTACGCATGGGGATACAGGAATTCAAAGCAACGTGAACTACCGACTGGAAAGAATCCAGTTGTTCCTCGCATGAATTCAGCCGCATGAGTGGCGTCCAGTTAACAGTATTCAGACGAGAGATCAAATTTTGTTTGTTAGGAGCTCGATAATCACGCTTTTGCAATCGTGTGGTTGGTAGACTTGGAGCATGTGTCAAAATAAGTTGTAGTAAGATACTGGAATGATCGGATTGACCAATAGGAGGCAGGATGATGGCATCGTAGTAAGGTGACAGAGTTGAAAAAGCTTGGTCAATGATATTACTTTCCCTGGTGGGCTTGGTAACCAGTTTCTTCAATCTAAAAGAGTTGCAGAGATTTCCTGGTTTGAATTGATTGAAATCACCAAGGACCAAGATGGCAGAATTAGGATAGGTGGCAAGTAAAGAATCCAAACATTTGAAGATATGCATTCGAAGAACATGGTCATCACTCTGAGGAGGATGGTAAACTGTTCCCAATAAAATAGAGTTGATTCCTCGTGGTAAACGTTCCATTCTGATTAGAAACCATTGACTCTCAATTTATGGCTCACTCAGGTCAGTTAATTCAGTAAAATTAAGTTGTGAATTGAAATAGGTACAAAGACCGCCCCCGCGTTGGTTATTCGGTCTATCCCTTCGGCACGATACATAGCCAGGTATACGAATAAGTTCATCAGTTACTCGTGAATTTAACCATGTTTCAGTAATTACGACAACATCGTATAATTCGGTGGAAATTGATGCTGAGACCTCGTCTAACTTATTGACCATCGACCTAACATTACTAAACCAAATCTTGGGGAAGCGTGGAATTATAACTGATCTCCGCAAGGGGATTAATGAACTATAATCAGGAACACTGATGCACTTAGGCCGTTTGTTTTTCCTGGGTTTCATGATTGTAGGAATCGGGTATTTGTTAAGTTCCTGGTTATGTGAAATGGCACTTACAATGTTTTGAGGGGGTAAAAACGACGAGATTTGGGTTAGCATATTATCAGCTTCGTGCGACAATGAGGTGTTCCTGGAAGTGCCAAGATTGAGCTCCCAAAGACTAGATGATTCCCCCATTCCGCTATTATTAGAGTTAACGTTTCCACTCAATGCCGTACCGCCCCGACAAGGGGGAGAAAAGTGATACGTTTTCTTTGGAAGTCTGTTCGTGATTCGAACTGGTGATGGCCGTTGTGGAGGTTTTTTTTATTCAAAAACCGGTTCTTGTGGGGGCTGTCCGTGGTTATTATGTGGACAAGGTTTAAGTGGTTTAGCCAATCTTTGGTCGGTCGGCGAAG